ACATTCGTAGAGGCGGCGGCCAAGCATATTCACATAACTAAATGTGCCGCTGTCGACAGTTTAGCCTGAAGATATTAATTATATGAGATCTCACCCATCCAGATTCGCCAGGACTCAGCGAAACCTGCCAGACTTTTGGGTTTCTACCTGCAGACATCAAGCCCCAAGCGCGGCTGCTGCTCGGCCGAGCCGTTACAGGGAGAGCCGTTCCCCAAGCTGCTAATGTTCCAGGCCTTCACTCCTTGGTTGATTCTCTGCGCTGCTGTCTGTGTGTGGCAGCCCACCAAAATGGGATGGCCTCCGTAATGGCTGCACACCTTGATTCGTTCGACCTGTCGACCAGCCACACACACAGGATGCATTGTTTGGCTGCCAAACTTTGGTACACTAGCAACTAGCTCACCCCTTTCAGAGTTCAGGCCCGGTGGGCTTTTGATTCCTCCAACGCGCCTAATTCCAAGGTCTCGATACCCCTGGTTGGCTCAATGAAATGCTGTTGTGGACCTGGTTGTTTCAAGGCTATAGGTGCTGTGTTAAGTCCACGGCAAATACTCTGAGGCTGGTTGGCAGGCGGACCGTAACCCAAACGTCCTCCCTCGGTGAAGAATCAAGACCGGTGACGTCTCCCATTTCCCATGGTGATGGAGCTAGGCGTCCGATGAATTATGCAGAATGAAACAACTCGAGTGACCGAGTTGCATCATATAACGGCCCAGGACCAGCCCGGGCGAGCCCCGTGGCATTCTGAGGACCACATCAGGAGAGCGACAGCAAGACGGGGTTCATGACATCTTGCCCTACCTTGTGAAGGTACTTCTCTTCTCCTAAGGCTGAAGTCCGCCGCACAAGGGCGCATCCAACCTTTCCCGTCCGCCCTTGGCTCTCTCATTCTATCGTTCCCTTCATCTCCCAGGCTAGTCGGTTATACGGTGATGTGCCTGCAAGCCCATGAACGCAAGTCACTACACAAGGACAGGAAGTCTGGTGGCTGGCTCGTCATCAGGTAGCTCGATGCATGCTAGTGTACACACCAGTTGTGCATGCAACCTGATCGAGAGCTGCGCGCGGCAGAGGTGACTAGGTGCACAGAGCGTAGACTGCCCTTGCATCATCGATCAGCCTTGGCAGAAAGGAGGATCTTCAGTCTCAGGTCGCTCTCCGTTGCTCACGAAGATCCATAGCCTCAGGTCGCCGGGCGGTGTACCCAGTCCGAAGGCGAAGCTTTTGGAATGCCACGCTTAATTGTCGGGCAGACAAGTCGGACCCCCCTCTGCTGGCGACCTCGTTGTTGTGCAGATGCTGGGCTGGTGTGTCTTCACATGTGGGCATTAGATGGTGTCGGTATAGGAGAGAGTTTCTGCTGGGGGCTTTACAGGACCCTGCTGCCTTCTTGGTTATGGTTCTCCCAAGCACGCCTCGTGGCCTTTTGTCTCACTGACACATGGCTCAGTGGTCCTGCGCTCGGTAGTTGAGCCGTATCGTGTCTCGGTTTGGGCAGACGACAAGACAGTCTTGGGGATCGCTTCAAGACCCGAGTCGCTGCGTGACGAATGTCCGGCTGGAGAGCCCAACGAACGACACCGCTCTTCGGCTCAACGCTTCAGCTCCTCTCAACAGCATCGGAAAATTACCATCGATAAGCGACGATGGGAGGGAAACAGCAGCGTTTGCACATCCAGAGCCATAGCGGCCGCACTCTCCCTGGTATTTTGCCCTGAATGCAAGCGGGCCTAGGGGGGGGGGGCATCACACTTTGCAGAGATGCGACTGGCGGCTCAGCACCCAGTTGTCATCTCCTGCATGCCATATCATATCACCAAGCAGTGGCCCAACTGCCGCATACGAGAGGGACCTGCCCCCCAAAGAAGAAAGGACGCTGCATGCGTCTACAGTACTGTATGTACAACAGGGCTCAGGTTCGAGGCGATCTTGGTCAGACGGCGACAACTTCCGCGGCCGGCGAAGACAGGGTCAGGCCCGCGAGTCTATGCCCTGATCCCAGACGGCGGCGGCTCCCTCTTCCTGGCCCTACGTGAGGCCATCTCTCTCATCTCTTGTATGGGAAGGAGGCGGCGGATGGCTACCGAGAGGGGGAAGGGCAGAGTTGCATCGAATCTGGGGGTTTTCTCCGACCGGCACCATGCCTCTGTAAGTGGAGTGTCCAAGCCAGTCCTGGGTTCGTCGCCAACATACGGGAGGGACGTTCTGGGGTTGGTCACCCTTCATCAGTGTCGTTCGCGAATCGCCATGCTACTGTACTGCACAGTGTGGTGCAGCGCTGTTCCTGGGAGGTGGCGAGTCTCCTACGAGGTTTTGATCGGGGTCCTCCTGGCTCCTCTGGACGCTTCCAAGGCGCGAGTATCTTCAAGAGGAAGGTCGTGAAAGACCTGGTGCGCATCACGATGGTTCAAGCAGGGATACCCCTTCCTATAATTCTGAAGCTCGTTTTATGGCCATCGATACCTCACCAATGTTTCTACCTCGACTCTGCAGAATATGTGGACGGTCGTGGACTCTAATCTTCCGGTACTTGTCACCGGGGAACGGAAACGGCTTGCGAGCTCCAGGAACCCCCCCCCCCCTCCCCCATACGCAAGGACTCATCCCTGACTCAACACACGGCACTACACACGGCCCAACATATTTGATTACCGTCTCGTTCGCGACCCTGGATGGCTGATTGCCCGGAGTACGGAGCCGAGCCAGAGGCACGCACGTCCGTGGTTCTGTTGACCCAAGGGAAGGTTCGGTACGGTACAGCCTGCATCCGCTTTCTGCAAGCAGCTCGTTCTGACCATTATCTCTCTTTCGAGTACGGACACCTGGCCTGAAGCTATCGGGAGAGAAAGGGCCCAGCTACGCCTATTGCGGTTGCCGTCAAGATCCTCCTGGTCCTGTTGCGTCCAAGAATCGATTGGGGCGGCTGGTCGAGACTGCGGCAGCTGCCACGCTGATTCGTAGGATGAAGGAGGGTGTCATCGAACGGGCGGCGAGCCTCCACCACCATCGAATCAAACCTGCCTTGCCCCCTCCTCCCCCTCCACAGGCCGCTCAGGGTTGTGCCATTCGGGGAGGCCCACCGGCAGCCAGTCCATTTCTTCGCCCCTGCGCAGGCGGGGTGCGAGACCACGGCTGCTACCCATCAGGTACGTAGGGAGTGTGCATGTGCTCGAGACAGGACAGACTTGGGAATCACACCGGTCCTGCGCAGAACGGAGCGTTCCCGGATCACAGAATCGTACGAGGACACACCACAGAACAACGCATTCAGGGGGAGGGGCGAGGGGGAGACGTGGAAGGGGTGGAGAGCGGGGATTGAGCCTGTTTTCTTTTGAGTGCCGCCCTCGGCTCACCTGCGGACTGACGGCAGCGTGTTCCATTCCCCGTATTCCGGTTTGCGTAAAGGGTCGGTGAAT